GTGTATGAATAATTACAAGTTTAAAAGTTAAAACATTGATTTACTTTAATAAACATTAAAAATATCGATTAACCTTGATAAATATAAGATGACGGTAAAAGTACTAATTAACCTAGTCGCAGCTCCATTATATCTGGACGACCGCATCGTTTTTCGAGCATTTTATTCTTAGTTGCTTGGTCTAATATACCTGTTGGTTTTAAACCCGTAAACTTTTGAAATTTCCTAAAATTTAATAACTATATTTTTTTTTAAATTTCAAATTTTTAAAGGTTTTTTCAATTGAAAGATTAGTCAATAAGTCAAAAATTTACTTGAGATTATCTCGAAAGTTAGCTGCAAGACTTTGTTGCAAATTCAAACTACTGGCTGACGCGCTTAATCCAGGCGTCAATTTTGCTTCCTTTGAATAACCATAATTGCTAAGATATTGCTGAAAAATAATGTTGTAATTTGCTATGATAAAATATAATTTAAATTACTTTAGCATAATAAAATTAAGTTAATTTTCTAATTTTTTGGGATTGTTTGTGCTAGTTTTTAATAATATTTGTAAACTTTATTAATATGTCTGAAAGTATTTTTCATAATTAAAAATTCCTCAAAATAATTTAAATTATTATTTCAAATTAAGTGTTTTAAATTAAATATTTTATAAATCAAATTTGACGTTTTTTGGTGTATAATTTGTTAGCAATGGAAAAAAATAAAAAATTAGAAAAAGTATTGTTTAACTGAACGAATTATCAATAAGGTATCTATGTATTTTTCAAATAAATATTACGTAAAGAAAATATTGGCTTCGTGGAAGAGTCACGCAGGTTAAAAAAAAATATGAACTAAAATTGAATTTTTTTGTAACTTATGCTAAAATTAACAATTAAGTATTGAAAAAAAACCCAACTAGGACAACAGTGGATACAAAGTTGTGCATGATACACAATAAAATTGATATCTGATAATAATAAAACTTATAAATTTAATAACAGCAAATATTATTAATTAAAAAACTAAACTAACAATGGCGTTTTTAATGGAAAATTCTGAATTCCTCCTTGCAATATTAATTGCGAAAATATTGTTAAAACATGAAAGTAAAATCATAGAAAAAAACCATCGCGCCATATCAATTGCTATAGAAATTCAGAAGCTTTTGTGAAAGACGTAATCACTTGAAATAGTTAATATCTGAAACTACACTGCTGATAAAAACGTTTACTTCTTTAATCATACGAATTTCAAATTTCAGTAGATTAAAATCTGACTGATTTATTCAAAATTTATGCATAGTTAAGATGAAATAGCAAACTCAGTAGTAACAGTAATCACAATAATAACAATGATGGTAATAATAGTAATAGTAACAAATAACAATAATAATAATAATTTAATAAAATGATAGCGACAAAAAATATGATGAATAATTTTGCTAGAAATTATTAGACAAAAAAATAAATGATATTTTTGTATTACTTTTATCACTTAAATATGTACAACTTTTTAATTTTGTTTACAGTTTTACAGTTTTATGAGCTTCAAAATTTGCATAACACTTAAAAGTTCAATTTAAATAATCAAGTTTCAGTCGAAGTAAAAGAATCAGTAAAGACTGTCCTTGAATCATACACAGACTGGTTAGTTGAATGCCATCTATGTCTCATTATTACATTTTAATTACTTTTAACCTTTCGGAATTGGCAAAATTTTTTGTAAAAAATATTTAAAAAAATCAGTGATGATAACTTATTCAATAACTTGCAGATTCATTTTCAGGTTTTGTAGCTATAAATAAAAATTATAAATACTATTTAGCTCAAATTTATTACATATTTAAACTATGTAGAAGTATTCACAAATGTCAAGTACAACCTGATAAAATCACATATATTCTGAATTAATAGAAATTGAAAAGTAATTTTTAAGAATACTTATTGATCTACAGAAGTTTTAAAA